TTCCCCCCCCCTTCCCCCCCCTCACTTTTTTTTTGTGTTCCCCGGTTTTCCCCCCCCCACAACCCCTTGTAAACCCCAGGGGTTACCCCCCCCCTTATTTCCTTGGGAAGCAATTCCACCTGAAAGGAGGGGAGGTCTTTTGGCCCCCTGTCCCCTGGGGTGGGGATGGGTCATTTTGGGGAGGGAGGAAATTCTTCGGGAAGGGAAACCCCGGGGGGGCCCCCCCCCCCCCCTCCCCTTCCCTTTTTGGCCCTGGACGGGGTCACCCTTCCCTTTTCCCTTCCCAGGGGGGGGTTGAGTTAAAGCGGGTTGTGGAGAGTTTCGGGGCCCGGGCGGGACTGGACGCAAAGGTGGGGCCCCCCCCAAGAAAGGTTTTGTTTTTGGGGGGGGGGGGGGGGGGGGGGGGATGACGCAGAGCTCCTGTGGCAGCGGACAACAGTTTTTCGGTACAGGGCGAGGGTTAAGAAGTTTTTTGTTACTGCTATGATAGTTAACCTCGAGGTTTTTAGGAGACGACTAAGGGTGGCGTGGGGCGGGCCATAGGTGGCGTCATGTAGAGCAAGATATTTTTCGAGAGTCCGTTCAGCATGATGTTGGTCTGTAGTTTTTTGGGCGTGTTGCTTGAAATTGAACCACGCGGTGCTGCTGTCTGGACCTCAGACATCGGGGGGAGCAGCTCTGGACACCGCTTTTTGGGACGAGACATGTGTAACATGGTGCAGTATCCTGTTGCGACATTGGAAAGGGTTTGTCTGCAGACCGAGATGTTGGAGGCATATTAATATGTATGTAGTGCAGGAAGGAGGGAGGCTACCTTACAGGGGAGATTTGCTGTTTTTTGTCGCATGGCCGGTTGGTTCCCAGCGATGGATCGTTCACGGTCGTAGAAAATATGGCGCCAACGGGTCAGATAGACGACCTTTCACGACTCCCTCGACTTGTTGATTGTGAAAGAGATCATTCCTTCTCGGGGTTTAATTGGCGGTGGGTAGGTCAGGGACGGTCCCCGGTAGGGGGCGGGGGGGGGCTCCCACGGTGAATGTTGTTTGCGAATGTGCGGGCTCGATTGCCGATGCTTCCGGTAAACGTACTTGAGCTTCGTGATTGGCCTGAGGTTATTATTTCGAACGTTAGATAGGAGCACATAGGCATTCGCTGTAGAGTAAAAAATGGGATACAAGCAGTCATGTATCCCTTGAGGTTAAAATGAAACACCATCGAAACGTGCATGCATGCCCATCCAACCAAACCGACCATCCCCAAATGGTGGAGCCGCGCCTCGGCAGTAGTTCTGCTGTATGCTCTCGGGGGTGTTGCCTGCGGGGATGATGTAGACGCGCATTGTTTTGTTTTGTTTTGTTGGGTGCCTTTGTTTGTCAGTAGCCGTCGTGTATGGGCGGGGAGTACCCAAATACTGACAACGTGCGGAATGTTTGATCCCAAATGACGATTGGATTATGTACCCGAGCTGCATACTTTTCTTCAAGTATACTTTTCACGCCGCAATGGCAGAGAATGTGACGCTATTCCCTGTTCCTTTGATCCCCACCCCCTCGCTCTACTGGCAGTCGCGCGCCCCTAACGACTCCAAACAAAGACAATAACATGCCTTCGTTTCTCTCTCTCTCCCTCCTCCTCCTTCTCGCCATATCCGCCGTCGTCGGAACAGCATACTTTCCCACCAACTCGTCGCCCGCAAGCAGCCCAACCATCATGACGACCAAATTATGCCACGAGCAATATCTTCTCTTCTTCAAGCCGCCCGTAAAATGCCAAGCGCATGGTGGACGACCTGCCGCATAATGATGCAAAACTATCACTCCTACCCCCCTACCCCGGCCCCCCTCATAGCATGTTGTAACCCCATCCCTGCGGAAAGACGGACGCCCCGATCCCATATGATCACGGTGCGAACTCTCGCCCTTACACGCAATAAAACAAGGAAGTATTTTTACTTAATAACGTGATCTTATATTCGTCATTAATAATGCCAACGTTTGCTTAGACCTCGTTTTCGTCTAAGGGGGGGGGGCTGTTGGCATCCAACCAAAATCTGGAGAAAAAACACTTCAGCTCTCTTCTGATTTGCCCGTTTCTCGCTTCCTGCTTAATTTGCCGGCTGTTAAAGGAACGAGAAATGCTCTGGCCGCCAATGTACATATTCTACGCGCGCCACACAAGCATCAAAATACTCCAATTTTTCGTCCTTCGTGGATCGTCCGTGGGAGATACTCTCACACCCACTTTGTACCAACGAAGAATACCGCACATATTTAAAGTACCCCGCCTTCCCCACTGGGCAGCCATACACGCACCAGAATTCCAAATTCATCGCCAGCTGTAACGCAGACAGACATGCTTCTTGGACGAAATACCTGCCACCGATTAAAATACCGGACAACACATATTTTGATACCGTACAGTACATTCTTGCGCTCACCTCTACTGCAACATTAAAGTACCGCGTGTGCCATAACTTCGGCCGACAAACATGCCTCACTCTTGTTGATTGGCCCCAAGCCGAGTGCTGCTGGATGAGCACGGCTGTCCCGTTTGACAATGTGAAGAGATGGTAAAGTCGTTTTATTGGTCGTCCTCGTAGACACAAGCAACGGAAGAGAGTGGGCACCCAGGTGCATCACAAACACCGAGGCACGCGAGCAACAGTCGCAAGACGCATTCGGAACTCGGAATACATGACAGCAAGGAATGCGCGACAACTTGCCAAAGATCCTACTACCGGAGATACCCCGAAGATCCAAATGACCGATGGACGGTCACGCACTTGCGCACCTGCATAGCTCAAAACCACACATGAGTACTACCGCAGTAGCCTTCGTAAGGATGGCATAATCCACCTCACGAACACCCTCCCTGATTCTGTACATCATAACGAATGCTCTCAAAACCAAAGCGCTCAGGGTACTCATAGAAAACTCCAAAAATAAACAAAAATAAAACAAACGAAGGGAAACCCGGCCACCGGATCAAAACCCTCCGCCCCCACGGGTCATCCTGCTGATTGAACTGTCAACACAATCAACACAGCAGTCACAAAGTTGCAAACCTACACGTCTACAACTGTCAGGCATTTGTACTACCCCTTTTCAAGTAGTCCCCTCCCAGCCAACATGATCCCTACTGTATCGAGTTGCTGTCGGCACCGCGGCGCGCCTAAGGCCACAAGCACCAATGCCAAATTGCAGCGGAAAAACGTAAAACCTAACGCTACATCGCTAAATGACATTTTTATAGAGGGCGATCAACCAAGAGGAAGATCAAGCAGTATCTCAACCACAACGGTACCCCGCTTCGAGAGACACTGGACCTAGACATTTTTCGCTACTCCTTCACAAGTAACTCCCTCCCAGCAACAGGATCCCTACTGCTGTATCCAGCTGCTGTTAGCAACGGGGCGCGTCTACAACCAACCCCGATCACCATTGTCTATCACATGACAGTGAGAGGTGCCCCCCTCGGTCTGTACATCAATGAAAGATCATAAAAAAAGGGCAATCAACCACATGTTAGGGGAGGGTGCCCCCTCTCAGCCTACACATCAGAGGACGATCGAAGCAGCATATCAATCATAAACAGTTCATCAACCAGCCTGCTGGTACCTGCTAATATGAGAGACGCTGGTAGCCATCTATCACGAAAAAAGGCGTCATTCATCAGCCCTCCCTGATTTCAGGCAAAATATCCCGGTGAAACTGTAGACACCAGGAAATAATTCCGAACATCATCAATCAAATTGGTGTGACCGCAGTGCCCTGCGGATCACCATTCCTCAAAGTGAGACGACAACGGAATGCCACACCATCCTCAGTATTTCATCGTGCAATAAGCCTCATCATGGCTCAACCTACGCGGTTAGTTACTGAGATGCGCATGGTATACCGGACAGGCAACATCGAGTTTCGTGGACTGCGTTCGTATCCCGATCGAACACACAAGAAAAAAACAACGAGCGAACGGCGGAAAAGTAACAGGCCAGAAAAAATTCCCCTTTGTACTTTCGTCAGTCGTATCATCAAAATCGGCTCTTTATGGGGGAATGCCGACGAGCCGAATTGCACGCAAGGCACGAAAGCGAACGGGCGTTGATGCACCGCTGGGAAAACAGAACTAGACAACATCAGAGTGCTTCGTATGCGACGTCCAACTCGACACCACCGCCTCCAATCGCGGCGACTGCAGTTTCAGTTCTCGATGGGCAGTTTTTCGCGTTGTGCCCCTTTTTTCCGCACCTCTGGCAAAGCTTCTCTGGGCATGCACTCGCATAGTGGCCACCATCACAGATGTAGCACTTGACTCTCTTGTCGCTAGCTAAATTCGCCTCTTCGTAACCTCGGTTTTGTTTCGGACGTCTCTTTCCTCCCCCCTTCCCCTCTACTGCTACGAACGCATGATGGTTCGCTCGCCGATCACTCTTCCCCTTCTTTTCCTCCGCTTTCAGTTGCCCAGCCCGTGTTCGAAGCACTCTCAAAATCTCTTCTTCATCGAGTGTTTTCTGGGCGAGCAGCTGTTGCTTTTGAATCTCAAATTCCGGGGAAAGCGCATCGAGGAACCGTGCATACACGAGCATTTTTGGGATGGGCTGGTCGAATGCCAACTCTAGGTTAGTCACTACGGACTTGAACTCCTGGAAAAACACTCGGGGTTCCTGGTTCTTCCCTTGTTGGGCATTATAAAACTTTCCGATCAGCGAGATCTGCTCGCCGCCGGTCAAGGGGGTGAATGTTTCTTCTAACGCACGCCACGCTGCCGAGGGCCCCTTTCGATCGTACACCAGCATTTTTGTGGAGTTGTTGGATATCGCTCCGGTCAGCATCCCCCACAAATCCCGGTACATGGCTATCTCCCCTACTTCCACTCCTTGCTCTATCATGCCATCATCGTCTACGCCTAGGACCTCAATGTCTCTGCTGTCGCTCAAGGCGCGACCCATCCCACAAGTCTGAACCTGCGTAATGAAATCGTTTCGGAACATCAGCCAGTTTTTCTCGTCTCCGTTGAAGTCCAACTGTTTCAGTCGTGGGATACGGGCATGCGAGCTGAAAGCATACCGTGAAGCTTGCTCCTCTCTGCTGATTCCCTCTCGCGAGATAGCACCGTGTGGTGTAGGCTCTCGTGGTTCCGGGCCTCGCAGTCCTCTCGCTCCCTCGAGCCCTCGTCCAGTATTCGGCGCTTGGTCTAGCTGACCCGCGCCAGGGAAGGCGTGCGTCCTCCCCTGTGACTCCCCCCCGCCGCCCGCTGCGGTCGCACTTCCGGCGGGCGGTGTCCCGGGCACTAACCGGGACAAGGTGTTCATGATGCCTTCCAGTTTCTCCGTCACCATCTTCTCCATTCTGGTGCTGGCGTCGCCCACGGCGTCGTCGATGGCCGTCCTAAGCTCCTCATGAGTCGGGCCAGCCTCGCCCCCCGCCAGAGTTCACAGAGTCGTTCGAAGACATGTGTGTATACCGCACTAGACTATGACGTTAACGCCACAAGAACTCTAGAGTGTTGATTGGCCCCAAGCCGAGTGCTGCTGGATGAGCACGGCTGTCCCGTTTGACAATGTGAAGAGATGGTAAAGTCGTTTTATTGGTCGTCCTCGTAGACACAAGCAACGGAAGAGAGTGGGCACCCAGGTGCATCACAAACACCGAGGCACGCGAGCAACAGTCGCAAGACGCATTCGGAACTCGGAATACATGACAGCAAGGAATGCGCGACAACTTGCCAAAGATCCTACTACCGGAGATACCCCGAAGATCCAAATGACCGATGGACGGTCACGCACTTGCGCACCTGCATAGCTCAAAACCACACATGAGTACTACCGCAGTAGCCTTCGTAAGGATGGCATAATCCACCTCACGAACAACTCTCTGGGAAGTGCTACCACCCCCCACGTCATACGTGCATGCCCTATCAACAAGCGCCAGCAGGAATTAATTGTCGCAAACACAAAGGATGACCGTATACACCACTATCAATTTCTACAATCTACACTGCATTATTTCCAGTTTAAAGACACTCACTCGAAGATACAAGAACGAACGTGGACGAAATGCGTATGCAATCATACATAAAGGCGTCTACTCCCGGCCTCAGAAGCCTTGCCGGCCTCACCTTCCCGGGAGTCATGCCATGTAACGAAGCAACAAATTCGAACTGCCAGAAAGAACAAAACCAGAACCACAGCACCTCACACCTCTCACGACAAAACAAGAGACAAAACAAGGCGCCAGATGGGCAGTAGAGGGGTGGGTCCGGGCGGTCACTACACGCTGAAAGCACCCCCGCCCCCTGCCCCCGCCTTTTGCCTGTAGCAAATCTCCCACCTGCAAAATCCGGTCCATAATTACAATGGTCATGGGCGTTCTGACGACGTCGACAACAAGGAAGACGTCGCCAACAAGGAAAACAGAGAAAAAGATAGGTGGAAATAAAAACCGCCTCCTTCCTCTTTCTCCACGCCCCGCACTTCGCTTGTCACACCGAGGATCATCACAACAACGCTTGTCACTCCAAAACTTGTCACTCCAAAAAACTTCGCACGCCAGGGCCTCCTTGCCCACGGCAGGAACCGGTTGAGACCTCATCACGCATCACTCAACAGTCGGTCGAGGAACTACCTGCCTGCAAGAGCAGATGGCTACACGTTTGTACATGAGTCAACCCCGCCCCCCCCCTACCTAGTGAACTCAGTGCAGGAAACCCAGGTAGATGTCTATCGGGTTGTTCGTGGCTGCCGCGCCCATCACCGAGGCGTCGATGAGGCTCATGACGGCAGGCGCAAAGGTCAGGAACTGCATGGACGACATCATCTTGGCGTCGATCAGGCGGCGCTGGTAGAGCGTGGGCGCCAGGAACGCGATCGAGGTCGAGGTCTGACCAAAACAATTATGGGGATAGGAAAGAGGGGGGGTGGGGGTGGGGTCACAGTGCGGCATCCGATAGGTAATAGCGGCAGCGACAACAACAGCGATAGCGACTGTCACGAGGGGTCC